CGTCGAGGGGACCAGGGCTGTCATCGCGTATCATCGACGTCTCCTGGGAGGCCTCCATGATAGCGCTAGGATGTTGGACTCGTGGGCCTTTGCCGCCTCGTGTGGCACGGGCGATGACGGGCTCAGGGCTGCGCGTGCCTTCGCGCACGACTTTGACGTGCCTGCCAGAATCCGAAAGCTGGACAATGGGTTCCTCCACATCGTGCGACAGGCGAGTACTGCGTCGCGTGCCATGGACTTCAGGTGTCTTCCCGCGCGCAAGGGATTTGCTGCCTGTGCGAGTGCGCAGATTGCGACCGGAGGCGTGGTCGGGCATCTTCAGCTTCACGATGAGCGAAGGCTTCTCGACCTCTTCGATGGACGGCTGCGCGCGGCGTCGCGATGCGGGCTTGGGCGAATCGTCTTCGGATGGCGTATCTTCGATCTCGTCCTCGCTCTCCTCGTACTTGATCTGCTTCTTGGTGGCGCGGCGTACGCTTCTACCTGTCGCCGGGTTGATCTCGGGCTCCTCCGACTCGGAGCGCTCTGAGAAGGAATCTTCGGACTCTATCTCGTCGTCCTCGTCAATGTCAGAGCCGCCGTATGCGCGTCGCTGGCGCTTGGAAGACTTCTTCTTAGCTCCAGGCGTGTGTCGGGTGCGGCGCCGTTGGGGCGCGGCGCGTTTTTCCGAGTCGTCGTAATCGTAGTCGTCCGGGTCGGAGGCGTTGGGGTCGATGTCGAACTTGCGCTTCGCTCGGCTAGACATGGGGACTCGTCGCGGTGAGGCCTAATGCGGTCCTGCGGGATCTTGTGAGTGCGCGGCCTCGGGGAGTCGCGGTGAGAGCGCGCTTACACCGCCTGTGTGGATTTTACAAGCTTCAAGATGGCATTAGATGCAGGGGAACCGTCTCCTGCATGTGCGCCGATGATGGCGAGGGTATGCGCGATGCCGCCTGGCGTGTCGCCTGGGCGTCGTGTTGTTGTGAATGTGGGAACGATGTCGAGCGCGCGATGCACCGGTCAAGACGACGCAGAACTCAAAGAAAGCGGCTTCAAACACAATCAGTGTCCTGATAAATGACACTGAGAAGCGAAATAGTCGAGATAGACAGACGTGGTCGAGGGGCGTGTGGTGTTGGGGTGCGATCGCGAAGGCCCGTCCAATCCTAAGCGCGCTAAACCCCAACCCGAATTCAGAGCAAGGAACACTTTTTAGATGCACAACCACAACAATAGCGAACGCCTTTATTTTCTCGACTTTTAACAATACAAAATGTGTCAAAATGCACAGCAAATGTCAAGTTGATATTCAGTGAGCAATTTCCGCAGCTTTTCGGGAGTCTTCCGCCACGTCTTGGACTGCTATTTGAGCCCTTTCTTTTCGACTTGTAGCTCTTGCTGCTGTCGGTTCCTGCATGATCGACATGCGGCTCTAAAAGCTTAACGCGTTTAGAGCTCACTGCCATGTGTGGGGAAGAGCGAACTATGCACGTGCACCACGTGCTGGAGCGACCCAGTTCAACGCCACCCCTGAGCAATCAACTCATGACGCATAAGTCTGGAAACAGTTTGCATTTGCAGAGATCAGATATTTGTTTCGTTGTAGATATGTCATACACGATTGTTGTTGTGGTCGTGGGAAGACGTCCATACTCCCGAGGAGACCGACAATATTCCCAAACAGCGCAACTTGCATGTTGATAATTCTTTGCGGGAGGTAATTGTTTTCATCGAACAATTGTTGTGTTTGTGGGTTCAAGGTGCCCGCGGGCATGTTAGGGTGGGTGCCTTCGTACCTTCCAAGGTTGTCGGGTGGTTGCTCCATGTCGCCGCGAACATCGAATAGACGTAGGCCATCTGCAAACAAACAGCTATCTGAGCTTTTATACTGGAACTTCAAGAAAATCGTCGTTAGATGTACTCTGATCCATGCGATCTTATGCGCCAACGCCGCCCGGTGGAATATTGGTGTGGTCTTGGAGCCTCCACACCCGTGCATCGTCAGGCCCATCTCAACAGTCGCTAGATGCCAGGGCCGAACAAGCCCCACGATTTTGAGGAGGATTATCTCAACCACCTTCGATATCAGCTCCTCTTCCAGTCAACAAGCAACCGCCCTCGTCTAGTCCAGCTTACCCAAGTATGGCCGACATGCCTCACTAATGTCGCAAGCTCCGAACAAAGTACACGCTCTTGACGCTGTATACGCCATATACGCGAACACTCTGCCTAGCATGTCACCCTTCCTCGAAGGAATGGCAAAAGTTACTGGAATTTCGCATGCAGACTCTTCAATTGGAAGCTCCTTAATACACAGCTCATTATTCTTACGTTGTCATTGAGCACTGCGGAGCTGCCTCCGTGCAGTCCGCATCCATCCCACCAGAAGAAGCCGAACCCCGCAGTTTGGCCATAGCTCTGCTCAACGTCATAGGCTCTCGAAGCTCCGCCAAACCTATCGGAATCCTAGTCTACGAGAGATTGACGTCTTCAGGTGGGCTAAGCTATCTTTATTTCCACGCGTGCCGCCTTTAGAGTGGCCGAGTTCGCGGTAGTTTATAATCGATCTTCACACCCACTTCCAGACGCCATGCGCTCTATTGTGACAGCAACTCGCTCTCTCGGACGTCAACAAGCTTACAGAAGTCACTTCCAGAAGAGATCCTTACCATCAATTGTCTCTCGAGGATACGCAAATATGGGCCATTCAGTACCACCAGTATGTTCCTACTTCGTTTGCGCGATCATCCGCAACGACCAGCTACTCACCGCATACAGCTCAACGACAAGTCTCTCTTGAAGAACCAGACATATGTCAACGGAGAATGGATAGACGCAAAGTCAGGCAAGACCTTCGAGGTCAATGGTATTCCAGCCCCACCAATCCTCTAAAAACCCTCTAACACGCAGCAGACCCAGCGACAGGCAAGCTCATAGGCACCATGCCTGAGATGGACCGCGCAGACACCGAAGCCGCCATCGCAGCAGCAGCCGCCGCACTCCCTTCCTTCCGCAAACTCACCGGTCGCGAGCGCTCACGACTCCTACGGAAATGGTACCAATTGATGATGGACAATGCGGATGATCTGGCGAAGCTCATAACCTGGGAGAACGGAAAGCCCATGGCAGACGCTAAGGGAGAGGTCAACTACGCTGCGAGCTTCTACGAGTGGTTCGCAGAAGAGGCACCGCGTATGTACGGAGCCACCATTCCGGCGACCGTTGCTGGTAACCGAGTGTTCACAATCAAGGAGCCTGTTGGTGTTGTTGGATTGATCACACCGTAAGTCTCGCACTTGATTCGGAAGGATTATGGCTAATGCTGTCAGATGGAACTTCCCCGCAGCTATGATCACGAGAAAGATTGGACCAGCTCTGGCAGCTGGTTGCACCGTCGTCGCAAAGTCTCCCGGCGAGACGCCTTTTACAGCCGCTGCTCTCGCCGAGCTTGCGCACCGGGCTGGAATTCCCAAGGGTGTCGTCAACTTCGTTACCGCACTTAAAAACACACCTGAAGTCGGCGAGACAATCACGTCGAGCAAGACTGTCAAGAAAGTGTCATTCACAGGATCGACCGGTGTCGGCAAGCTTCTGATGAAGCAGTCGTCGGATACACTCAAGAAGCTCTCGTTCGAGCTCGGTGGAAACGCACCCTTCATCGTCTTCGACGACGCCGACCTGGAGACAGCCGTGACCGGAGCTATCACATCCAAGTTCCGATCTTCAGGCCAAACTTGCGTATGCGCCAACAGAATTTATGTTCAGTCCGGCATTTATGATGAGTTCTGCACAAAGTTCACCGAAAAGGTCAAGAGTTTCAAGGTTGGTGGCGGCTACGAGGAGGGCACTACACACGGGCCTCTCATCCATGACCGTGCCGTCGACAAGGTGGACGCCCACGTCCAGGATGCCGTCAAGAACGGCGCCAAGGTCCTGTTCGGTGGACAAAAGCTACCCGATCTTGGTGAGAACTTTTACCAACCCACAGTCCTCCGCGACATGACCAAGGACATGCAGCTTGCCAAAGATGAGACCTTCGGCCCTGTTGCCGGACTCTTCCCCTTCGATACCGAAGCCGACGTTGTCAAGCTAGCCAACGCGGCCGACGTAGGGCTCGCGGGTTACTTCTTCAGCAAAGACATCCAGCGAGTTTACAGGGTAGCTGAAGCTCTGGAGGTTGGTATGGTTGGTGTTAACACAGGTCTCATCTCCGATGCTGCCGCACCTTTCGGAGGCGTGAAAGAGTCTGGCTTTGGACGAGAGGGAAGCCATCTTGGTATCGATGAATACGTTGTCACAAAGACGATCACAATGGGCGGCAATGGTCAACCGCTCCAAGGAGAGTAGAAGATCAATACAGACTGATTTGCGCCGAGGGGTCGAGAAGCCCCGCCACACGTAGCTTCATTTCCACATATGCCTGACAACGACCACAGATCATGAGGAGGTTTGTGCTTAAACCTCGACAGATACCGCAGTGCAGAACCATTCGTCAGAATTCTTGGGAAGGAATGTGCCGTGCACGTTACGAAAAGAACTGTCGAAGGGAGCCGCTAGCGTGTCATGTTCGCGACTTTGAAGTTTAGCGTAACGCGTAGCCCAGCGCAACGCGTGCCTGTGCCATCCTGTCCTTGCGGCCGTTTAGTAGGTACCCATCGAGTATTTTGTTTGCTTCTCAGTTCTCTATAAGATCAATAGCATCGAGTAACCTTGCAACGACGGCATTTCAAACAACTAATCGCATCGTCGATTTCACATTCCTTCCTCCGACGATCCTTACCTACCGGTGCCATTTCCGACACACATCCCTGATAGCATCACTTTCGGCCGTTTACCCCTCTCCGCCACATCCACGCCAAAGCACGTTAAGAACAGGCCGAACACCCAGTTCAGACTTTGTCACTTTTAGCTCATTGACAACTACGATGGCGCACGTTTCGTACGATCAAAGCCATGTCTACATCAAGTCGGAGGTAGGCCTCGACCAAAAGCAAACCTTAACCCCCGGACCGAGCCCGACGATGTCAGCTGCACCGTTTCCGCCAGGTCCGCGCAACATGAAGATGGAGCAGACCCCGGAGCCATATAATATCAAGCAAGAGGAATATCACCAGCAGGAACGAGAGAGTACCGTAGGTACTATGGATGCAACCACACGCACCACGGACTGGGTACTACAAGGGAACAACGACACTGCCGGTCAGGCCGTACCAACCTCTCAGTCAGCCTCTTCGACACCTGCTCCAGCTAGCCAGGCGGCGACCGCCCCAGCTGCTCAGACGACGGCAGCTCAAATCACTCAGAACTCCATGGCGTCTAGTAGATACGCCCAACCACAAATCAATGCCGACCCCTCTCCCGCGGCCTTGAACCGTCTGGCATCCAAGCGACTCCTCGAAGATGATTCTTTTTGTACAGGATCACCAACAAACAAGCGTATCAAAGCCGAGCCATCCTCCTCCGTCTCCGGCACCGGCGTCCCTCGCATCAAGTTGGAGCCCTCCAGCTCCCACACAGAAACCCCTCCCATGCACCGCGCACCCGAAAACGACATCATCGCAATCTGCAGAACCTCTACATCCGGCAAATTCACGGATTTCGAACTCGAATCTCTCACCGAGATCCAAACTAAAATCGACTGGGTCTTCAACCACGGCGCAAAGTCCTTTGATGTGCTCTCTGAGATCAAGAAGATCCCGCACCAGCCACCTACGTCTTACGGCATTAGTCTCAAGCCCGAACAGAATCGCCGCATCGGTGAATTGCAGAAGAGGATGAAGGATGCGCAGACGGGGTTTAATGCTCAGGGTGTGAAGGCCAACCCGCTCTCGACTCCTAAGGGCAGGAAGATCAAGAATTGTCGGGCGAGGACTGCGAAGTCGCCGTCGGTGTCTGCAGAGCAGGGATTCAAGGTTGAGAAGCTTTTGGGCATGCTGATGCTGAATGACGAGTCTGGGGCTGCTGTTGCTCAAGCGGCGTCCAACTTGCTTGCTAGTAGGGGGCTGAAGTTTACTTTGTGTGGGAAGGAGCTGCGGTTGGTGGAATCGTAGATGGCATCGCGGTGCTGTTGGATGTTTCGTACTTTTTTTGGGGGCATCTGTAGCCAGAATGGCTTTCTTGTGTTACTAGTACTGGGAGGTGGCTCTCTGGGTTTTGTGCAGGTAGACTCGTGGTCTCTGTCAAGCACTCTTTATAATTTCATTTGTTACACCTATGCAGTCTCTGTTCGATGTAACATCGAATCTACTGAAATATGTCAACTGCTTTCTTGGCTGTGTCGCTATAGGTCTCGTGTGTCACTGGGGGAGAAGCTCTTGATGTGCGTCTACGGGAACTCTGACAACGGAGCACTATCAGCACTTCAGCGACCCTTCGACTTCCTTCTCACATGTAACCTTTGCGGATGGCCGATCTACGTAGACATTGCAGTTTGTGTCAGAAACACCGGACCATGTGTGGCGGCGCAACGCGCATGCAGCATAAATGCCCAACGTCATCGTCCCCGCACAATCCAGGGGAAAGCGATTTGTCGCTGTGACCATTTTGGGGCTATAGATACCATCCAAAAAGTATCAGATCATGTAGTGAGCTCAAGGTCAACAAATGTTATCAAGGGAATATCCTATCGAACAGCATTCCCGTGAATTTTCTCAACAGTTGCAGTACATCCTCATAGTCGGGGAGCTGCTAGCGCGTTGCACTCGCGACCGAAGTTTAACAGGGCACAACGCGCATCCGTAACCCACCGTTCGCAACTTGTCGCATATGTCAAGTACCGTCACCCGTCAACTCTGAGTGACGCGCACAGGATTGCAAGAAGCACTGCAACCGATACCGATCCCAAAAAAAAAGCAATTCCATCAACTTCCCGCTTCCGGTGCCCTTTCCGAACGTCCAGCGGTCGCACCTTCCACCTCGACTTACATTCGGCAATCGCCTACAACACACGTCATGATGCGCTGGCTCAGAGGCAGCACGGCGGCAGGAACACCGGGCGCAGAGGAAGGAATCGGCAAAGAAAATGTTATGCCAATGGTATCAGACAACCTCAATGCCGAGGGCGCGGAGGACGAGGTTGAGACCTCGAAGAAGCCGTTGCGCAACACCCCGCGCCGTGCTGCAGCAAAATCCAAGAAGAGCGCTCCTGCCAAAGCATCGCCCGCGAAGGCTGCGACTCCCCTGCGACGGTCCACGCGTGCGCAATCGAGAAAGAGCGGGGGCTTCTTCGACGCGGCGCAGGAAGCCACTCCAGACCCGATGTCAATCGCCTCGATCATAGATGCACCTCCGACATCGACACCACCACATCCCGAATTCAGTGCTGCCGACGAAGCACAAATGTTACAAGATCTGGACAACACGGACGAAAGTCACGTCGAGTTGGGTGAGATGGGGATGCCGCAACACGTCGTCTCTCACACTCAGGAAGACGAGAGTCGCGTCTCGTTGGGTGAGATGGAAGTGCCACAGCAAGTCATCTCTTACACTCACCCAGACGGGACGGTGGCAGAAGTTGCAAGTGGAGAGCCAGCGGCTGAGATGTCTGCGTCTCTGCGAGATGCTGTCGCTTCAGAAGAGGCTGTCGCTGTACAGGAGACTGCTGCTGTACAGGAGACTGCCACTTCACGAGCGACGGAAGACACTCACGCGGTTTACTCAGCTACGCCGGCTTTCGATTATGCCAGCCAGAACTCGACGCTTCCTGTAGATAATCTAACAATCTCCGCGACCGGCACATGCTACGTTCCATCATCGTTCCGCCCCGATGGCTCCATCCGTAGAGAGATTCGGATTCGTCCTGGCCACGCCTCATCGGTGCCTACGAATACGGAACCTAACATCAAATTCATCCCAAACCTATCGGCATCTGAAGCACTCCCATCACAAACCGACATCGCTCAGTCGTCAATTCCAGCCCCGTCGACCTCTAACCAATCGAATGAGTCCTTTACAAGCCACAGAGCTATACGCCCAGGAGGATTCCTTACTAGCAGATACGCAGACGTCCCAGCTGCAACACTAACACAAGCGTCGGGTTTCACTACGCCGTTCTCCGCATATGCAGCAAACGTCAACTCAGGGAAACGTCGACATGTCGAGGAAGAGAACGAGGGACCATCGGGATTTCAGGATGAGCGCTCAGCGAAACGCATGCGTACCACGAACAGTCGCGAGTCCATAGGTGACCGCCGTACGGCAGTTCCTCAAATACTTCCCAGCCCTTATGACAGATACGAATGGGCGCTTATCAATGACAACATGAGGGATAGCCAGGATCAAAGCATGGTCTCTGAACCTGAAGAGACGCCAGAACGGTCAATTGTTGGTCAAGACATCGTCGATAGAGAGCCAGTAATCAAGACTGAGCCCGTTGACGATGCACCAAGCAACTCAGCTGTGATCCCACCAGCTCCCCAACCCCCTCTGACGCCAGCTCAGTCCAATTCACCAAGTGTACGACAGCCACCGACCGCATCAATAGCAACACAAGGTCCGACCTCGCAAGCTCCGGTCTCAGCTCCCGAGTATATCGACCTTTTTGAACTCTGCATACCACGCTTTGGCAAGCGCCAACCGATACAGCTCGAGCTAAATAAAATCAGAGAAATAGAAACAAAGACAGCGCTGATATTGAGTGGTCATAAGGAGAAAGTCGACATTCTAGGCCAACTCCCTCCTTGGATGCGGGTCAATATTTCGAGGAAGCAAAGACAGTTGATTAACGATCTCGTGAGGCGTATCAAAGCAGCGAAAGCAGGCCAGCATAGCTATGCCGACGTGAGAAGTTTCAACGCCACCCCGAGTGGGTCTACGCCAGCACCCACAAGAGCCACAGCAGTACCAGTCACACAGACATACCAGCAGAAATCTGTCATGGCCGCGCCAACACCACCCCAAGCTCAATTGTTGGCACCTCAACAAGCCCGTCAACCCTACGGTCTCGACCCCCTCAAGTACGAGAACACATTCGGTCCAGCTCTGGTATACAGCGCACTGGAACAAGTCAACAATATGCTAGGAGCGTTTGGAGTCAACGCACGCTGTTACCCCAGTGGCATGGACTCGATAACTCTAAAGAACCAAAGTATAGTGCCGCCTCCTCCTCCGACTGGCTGCATGCTTCTTTCACTGGAGAACATGCCCTACGTCAAACTGGCTGGGCCGGCTCTGGTGAACCACGCGTTACACCAGGTCAACGACATGACCAGCTCATTGTGGCCTGGACAGTTTGTGTTGCATGGGAAGGACATGCTGCTGTTGCAGTCGTAGTTTGTTGCATCGTGGCGATAGCACTGTAGTTATCTTCGAGCTTTCAATGGCAACAAGATACTTGTGGTATAGATTCTCTTCTTGTATAATATTAGTACCGTTTCCGCGGGTCCAGACTTTCTCATGATAGTTCAGAGTACCTTGAACGTCTAATGAAATTGCTTATCAGAATCCTCTGGTGATTCGCAAAACTTCTGATCACATATACATGAACAATGCGGTAGCACGTTGACATACTGCCGTCACTTCAAAGTATACGCTTCCGCAAGACAAACCACACGGAGTGTCATGACTTCAAGGTCATCATTGAAAGTTGTTCATTTTCATGCCGGTGTACCCAGCACTATCGTTGGATACATACGTGAGGTCCTGAATGTAATACCCCGCGCCATAACCCTGAATGCTAAAAAGAACCCATGCAGAAACACCCTCTAGTACCTCTTACCCTCGCGGAGGATGTCGCTGTACTCCTCAAGCGGGGATGGTGTGAGCTTCTTCTCCGCCCACAGGTTGGGGGTGAGGAAACCGTAGGTGTGTGCGACGGCGACGAAGGTAGCCTTCAGGGTGTTCTCAAGGGTCTTGGTGGAACCGGAAGAGGCAGTGTAGATGTCGGCAACACCAGCCAATTGCAAGAGACGCTTGACGGCGGGCGATGCGACAAGGCCGGTACCACGGGGAGCGGGAATGAGACGGACAGTGACGGAACCGCACTTTCCGCTCTCCTTGGTGGGGAGCGAGTGAGGCTCACCAAGGTTGGTACCCCAGTAACCTCTTCGGATGGGGACGACGGAGAGCTTGGCGATGATGATGGCGGCGCGGATGGCGGTTGCGACTTCCTTGGAGGTCTTGATACCGAGACCAATGTGACCCTCGGAGTCACCGATGACGACGATGGCCTTGAAGCGGGTACGCTGACCGGCACGGGTCTGCTTCTGGACGGGCTTGATCTTCATGACCTCGTCCTTGAGCTTGGGAAGGAAGAAGTCGACGACCTGGTACTCCTTGATGGGGAGAGAGTGGAGGTAGCTGCCCACAGTCAGTAAATATTCCCACCCCATTGTCGCCTCAGAACGTACATCTCCTCCATGCTCTTGATCTTGCCGGCCTTTACGAGACGGCCAAGCTTGGTGACGGGCTGCCATTCCTTCTCCTATGCCAATTGTCAATTTCCCGCGCTTTATGCCTCCAAGATATTGTGTATGCGTACTTCGGTCTTTCCGCCACGGCGGCCACGGCCACGTCCGCGACCACGTCCACGGTCACCACCGCGGTCTCCACGAGAACCGAATCCGCCGCGAGCGGGGGCAGGAGCGTCAGCCATGATGTATGTTGGTGGGGTATACGGCTGCTGGAGTTGCGATTAGCGACGGCTGAGAGGGTGAGGAGAGGTGGGAGAGCGTACGATTTGAAGTTCCTGGGAGTTAGTGCGTGCTGTTGTCGCGGTCGCACTTGCAACTTTCGATATTGAAATGCTCGCTTAGGTCGTGGATGACGCTAGCCGCATGTGGCTTGGCGCAACCAGGCTGCATGCGGGATGCCCAAGTGAATAATCCACGGGTGATCACCACGACTGCAAGGCGCAATTCTTGGAGGCTGTACAGCTGCATTTAGCTAAGTGGTTACCTCTCTGTATCGATAGAGTCTTTCATACCCCAGAATGCAACATTCGAAAGTCGTTTGCCAGGATACTTCACAAGAACCTCGCAAGCACGACGATACGTCTCTAGCTTGCCAGCGCTGTTCCTCCTCCCGAAAACCCTCAAGACTAATCGCATCCCGT